GTGTTTGTGGTTGCGTGTTTGTGGTTGCGCGTTTGCGGTTGTGTGTTTGCGGTTGTGTGTTTGTGGTGGCGTGCTTGTGGTCGTGTGTTTGTGGTTGTGTGTTTGTGGTTGTGTGTTTGCGGTTGTGTGCTTGTGGTTGTGTGTTTGTGATTGTGGTCGCGGTTGCGCGCTGTGGTTGAGGTCCGGCACAGAACACTGCGCGTGGATGGTCGTGGTTGAGGTCCGGTGGGGAACACTTGGGTCTGGAGCTCGCGGTTGAGGTTCGGCAGGGAACACGTACTGGGCGTGGATGGTCGTGGTTGAGGTCTGGCGGAGGAGGCGGAGGAGGAGGCAGAGGCGGAGGACGAGGCGGAGGACGAGGAGGAGGCGGAGGAGATGGGGCTGATGAAAAATCTAACAACCCTCACCTGACAGGTGGGTAAAAATGGTTTCAGCTGCAGTATGAGACCTTCTAGATTCTAGAATTTAGATGCGGGAAGCACATACTCGCGCTGCGGGAAGTAGCTTCTCCTGAACATCAGGAACCAAGGGTCCAGGCCAAACATGCTACGGAACTACTGCGCGATCCCAGCACTTTGCTATTGAACTGCACAAATGGTAATACTCATATTCGTTGTGAAGCCAACTCCAGAACCGACGGTGGCACCGGCACCGGCAGCGGCACTGAACAACCAGACAACCGCTGCGCCAACTAGGACTCCACCAATAACTGCCAGGAATGTCTGTATGCTTCCTGCCTCAAAAACAACCTCGATGCGGTCGATGTGGCCGTCCTGGTTCTGGACATGGATGTGGCATTTGACACGCTGCCACTTGATGGACTGCCGCATGTCAGGGTCAATATCAAAGTAATCACTTCCTGGCGCAACCTTGCACTTCGTCTCCGAATCACCAGCCTCTGCAATCCATTCGATGCATTTCACTTGGTCGCCGATTTTCATGTCCTTGATCAACTTGGCGATGTACTTGGAGCCAAAATCAAAGACCTCCAACTTGAAATGCTGCATTGCTGGGAATCCCAGTCCAACTGACATTGTCTTTGGCTCTTTGGGGTCGTCAAACCAAATCTTTGACACAGACTGCAGAACATAGGGCCCCACGCTGACGCCCGCATCCACTTTTGTCCAGCTTTCAGATTTCACCTTCTGAAGTGCTGAATCCACTGTAAGGTCTTTGGAAACATGGGCCAAACCTTCTTGTGTGAACGTGCTCACAGCCTTATGGACTTGGCGGGCCCTTTCTTTGCGTTCTGCTTCACGGCGTCTTGCCTCCTCACGAACTTGGTGTTCCGCCTCCTCACGAACTCGGCGTTCTGCCTCACAAGCTTGGCGGACCCTTTCCATTCCTTCAATTCTTGCCTCACGACGAGCTTGGCGGGCCAGTTCTTCTGCACGAGCTTGGCGGGCCCTTTCTTTGCGTTCTGCTTCACGGCGTCTTGCCTCCTCACGAACTCGGTGTTCTGCTTCCTCACGAACTCGGCGTTCTGCTTCACGAGCTTGGCGGGCCTCTGCCTCAAGACAGCTTGTGCATGCATTTTGAGTTCTGTACCCACAATCTTGGCATCGAATCGAGCAATGACCACACACCCCACACCGAGGATGTCTATCGCAGCTGCATGCTGTGCCCATGGCTTCGAAGGCGATATTCTGAAGCTAGCTAGCAGATCTGAGCAAAGCTGACCAGACAATTCACACGCAGTTTACAAAAGCCGGACCATAGAAACCAAACACGCCAAGCATCGGGCAAACGTATCACCAAACAAGAGCCTACCATACCACTGGCTCCAGACTCTAGACAATCTTTAGTCCAAAAACATGGAAAGCAAAGACCTGCAATTGTCAAAAGCAGAATCCCAAATGTGGGTCACTGCCACTGAGTCTGAGATGGTCAAGGTTACTAACGAGTTGTGACTCTTGAAGGCACCATCCCCAATGTGGATCACTGTGTCTGGGATGGTCAAGTTCACCCAGAAGCTAGCAAAGCTGAAGATACAAGAGCCTTCCACGGGCCCTTGACGACAACGTTGGAACCAAAGCGCAACAGCTATGCTAGCCCAATTTTCTCCTGTCCTCAAGATAGATGAGAGTGTCATTCATCCAACCCAAGTCCCACTTCAGGTCAAAGCCCAGCGACGAGCTTGCTGGCCTGGACGGCAGGCGGTCCAACACGAGCAGGGAAAGAACCTTCCAATCCGAAAAAGAATTCCCTGTGTCTTGCGGAACATCAGCAGAGGCAGGGGCGCAAATAGGAGAAAGTACTCGATTATGTGTCCCTAAGACTCATGTACAACTTCGTCACTCGAAGCTGGCAAAGGTTTCGTCATGGCCCATCAGCTTCCAGCAGCCAAAGGAAAAAAATAGCAGACCACTTCAACACCACCCGAAAACCGAAAACCCCTTCTTTGGCCGATCCACTGTTCTGTTCTGCCGTGCCTCAAAGAAGTGACACCTTCCCAGGCGGTCGACTCTTCAGCGATCATGATCACACCAGGCCAAAACTCCTCGCTGGCCGGTGCGGCAAGGCGGGTTGTGTGGGGGGGCCGGCATACTCGTGAGGCACAGGCGCGTAGTGCGGCGATATGGCAAAGGCTGGGACCACTTCCCTGGCTTCAAAGCAATATCAGGTTCTTCCGCCCCTGGGGGTCACACATGTTCCATCCGTTTTTCACCTTCTCCCATCCATCAGCCTTCCGCCCTTCCTCCCCTCCGGATCCCGGCCTTCATGGAGTTGTTGAGCTCCCGGAGTAAGGACACCGCCTCCAGGTTGCTGTCGCCCCCGTGCTCGTTGCGGATCCACTCGCCCTCCGACTTCCCGAAGTTCCGGTAGATCCTACAGACGGGCAGCACAGGCACGGGCGGCCCAAACAGGCGTGCCAAGCTCCGGTTGTGGGAAGGGGGGTCGTTTCGGGGTGGGCGGGGGCTGCTTTTTAGCATCTTGGTGGTGAGTGAAGACTGCTGAACACATGTTCTTTTCCACTCATCATATCACCCACACACCGAGACCGCGAATATTTCCAACGACTCTCTTAACACTTAACATCTCTTAACCCATGCTTGCCACGCCTACGATCTGGTGATCTGATCTGTTTTCAACCAAGGCGCATGGAGGAGACCGCATCACAGCGAAATCCATCGATATGGTATCCTCAGGCGCAAGAAAGGTCCGTGCTGCACGCAGTCCAGGGAGTGCAAACGAAGCTTTCAATTCAGGCCAATCAGCAGGTCTGGTGCAAAGTCCAAATTAGTGCATATCATATCGCAGGAATTCGCACGATAAACCATGCAACCTTCAAGCATTGGGTTGCAAGAAAATTGACAAGAGTGAGTGGTGGATGTTAGTGTGCCTGCACGATGATACCAAACAACCCAACACATCCAATTCCTTTGCATCTGATTTCAGGAGCTTCCAAGCCAGCACGACATCCGCATAGCAACCCCCGCGCCCCCTCATTCAATGTTGGCGCGACCCCTCTGAGGAGGTGGTGCAGGATTTTGGACCTTCAACTTGTTTTTGTTTTCTCACTGTGGTGGCCCCAATGTTAACGAGGGAGAACGAGGGCAGCAAGAAAAGCGTGCGCAAAGTGGTGCAGGATTTTGTCCATCAACAGTAGGAGTGGTTCCCCGAAATAGATCGAATGCACAGAGAATCACTCCATGAACAAGAAAGCTTACACCGAATCGTACCGCCTCAAGCCTCGGCCCCCCCAAAAAGATTGATGAAACAACAGAGAACACTAACCCTCCCTTGTATGATTATACACAATTCTGCAACAAGGAGCCACGCATGGCGCCATCCCCACAGCCCACCGCCGCCCTCAACTCCAACGCTTCACCCAGGCGCTGTCGGCCCAAAACAGCGCCGCTCCCAGGAGGAAGCTCCTGACCTCGTTCCGGCGGAAGTTGAAGACCTGCACAGCCGGGGGCCAAGCCGTTCCTTGTGGGGCCTGGAGAGGACCACGTGGCCGTGAAGCGCGTGGATGGGATGAGAGAAGGTCAAGAAAAGAACACAGGAAGGGTGGCCGAAGTGTGGCTGAAGGCAGCATGCTTGGTTCATGTTGAACCATTGATTCCTTCCATCAGCAAGTCGTAGACACCAAAAGGACGGTGCTTTGAGTCATGCGCCGCTGGTGATACGCCAAACAGGTGGGCGGTGGTCACTGAAGACTCTCCGAAAGAAAAGGGCGGTAGGATCCCGCGCCTGGCGAAAGACCAAGTTGATCAATTCGTACAGAAATCATCGTGATTCTTTCTGGAGGTGTTTCCAAAAGTCATGGCAGACCTTGTTCAGACCTTATGGCATGTACCGCAGTTTCTTTTGAAAGGTCTTCCCACAATTTGGCTCTATGAGACACACCCGCACTCAAACAAAACCATCTGGGAATAGAGCTACAAGGCCCCAAACGGAGCCCAAGGTCTTCCAAACGGAGCTCATTCCCTTCGCTTCCACCATCCACCGCCCCCGCTCGTCGCCTTGGTGCCCCATTGCCTGGCCACGCCATAATTACACGCGCTTTCAGTTCAATGTCGCTAACTCTGAGTCGACTCGGTGTTCTTTCACACGCCAGCATGGCTGTTTTTGAGCTCTTGGCACGTTTGAAAGAACTGATCTTCTACAACCCTGGCTTTTTAAGGCACCAAAACCAAGCCCGTCGTCCACTTCGCCGCCGGTTTCTCCTCCAGCCCCACCTACCCAACTGGCACCTGTGTCCGCCCCACTTCCCCGCTGCCTTTGTTCGCCTTCACGGGGGTCCTGCGGGCGACACCGACGTACCACGCAGGCTGCAGCTCTGAGCACCAGCCCACCCTCCATCATCCTATCCGCCCCCTATCGCTCTTAGGTTGGAGGCCAGCGCAAGTAGGTTGGAGGCCCCACTCCCTCCCACTTCCAGCCTCGTACTCGAAGGTGGCGGTGCCATCGAAATCGCCAAAGCTGCAGGCGTCCTTGCAGAAGTGCGCCGGTACGAAGTCCATGATCACACCGATCTTGGCCTCATCGTTGCATGTTCAGCTCGGAGATCGAACGGAGAGACGTCTTCGCCTCTGACACTGGGGGTCCTCTATGGTTCAGAACACCCACATGTCGCTAGTTTCTTATTTGTTTGAGTCGGCACAACTTTCAGAAGGCGCATGCTTCAACTACCCCAAAAAAGGGCTTTCGTGTCGGGTTCACTTCAAAATGTCCATCCTGGTCACCACCTCTTACATGGTCCATGGGGCCGTAAAGCTCACCCGGATTGATGAAGGACCTTTCGATCGGGCGATCGGTTTGGCGCCTCGTGGAGCTGATTGATGAGGTACTTCAGGTCATCGGGCGATCCCAAGAGCGAGTAGCAACTGTAGTACCTGTGGGATCAGTAGCTGTGCTTCCTGCGGGGGTAAAGGCACCTTCCTTTTTCTGGACCAACGGCGCGCGTTCTTGAAGTCTCTAAACGTGCGCGTTCGGAGAAGACCTTTGAAACCTGGCCTACCTACTGCACAACTACGGCACATGTCTTTCTGACTTCAGGGTCTATGTCTCCCATGTCTCAGTTCCACTCCTCACTCCTCTCTCATGCCAAGGTACCCGCTCACCTGGTAGCCCCAAGAGCCTCGCGTTCGGCGTCACGCGTTGCGGCGCGAACGATTTCGGGCCCGATCCTCTGGCGTGCACCCGGGTGGACGAAGCTGAAGATGATAACATTGAACCTATGGGCCCAAGGATTGGGCCCACACTGTGGTTTCAAGACCGGCTTGAAAACCGTCGCATTTGATCCTTTGAGGTGGCATTGGTTCAATTCCAATGTAATAGATGGTAACCATCTCGACCTAGGCTGGCAAAGAAGAGGCCCTCGTGTTTTGTTACACCACCATGAACCAAAGGAACACACTTCCTGACCAGTCGGCTGCCAAATGCCCTCTTTCTTGGTGTGGACTTGCTTATCAAGGACTGACATGTAAAATCTAATAGGTACAAGGAAAAAGAAAAACCAAAAGAAAAATGCAATGCCTTGAAAAGGATGATGCGCCAAAGCCATCAGCTCCACCCAGTTAAAGTTCAGCGCCTGGCACATTTCGATCTCAACAGTGGATCAAGACATCGTCATCAATGTTTTGCAGAATCGGTCAAATATGGTCAACGTGTGATCTTGAGATCAGACTGAACAGGGAGTCATTGATTTTCAGAATCACCTTCAGAATCATCCTCCCAGCAACAAATTTGAACCTTCTCCCAGCAATCCCATGTACTCTTACGATCTCTTACGAAAGCCTTCTACTCATCAGCCAACTCGGTCACCAACCTTGACGTGTTCCACAAGCTGCTTCGCCATATCCCGGTAGTTCATCAACTCCCCATTGGCACCACGGCGGAAGGAGGATAGGTGCACCTCCAAAAAGCCCCGAGTTTTAGCAAAGTTTCAGCGAACGGTGTGGAAGAAGAAAAAATCGAAAACCAACTCGATGAGCCGATGAGCTCTCTGGAGTCTGGCAGGCCCTGGGGTCCCAAAAAGAACCACCCAAAGAAGAAGGAAATCCCAATAGCATTTGCCTCCAATCTAATAGCGATAGCCTCCAACCTAATAGCAATGGCCTCCAACCTGATAGCAATGGCCTTCAACGTAATAGCGATAGCCTCCAAGCTAATAGCAGTGGCCTCCAATCTAATAGCGATGGCCTCCAACCCAATAGCAATGGCCTCCAATCTAATAGCGATAACCTCCAGGCTAATAGCCATGGCCTCCAACCTGATAGCAATGGCCTCCAACCTGATAGCAATGGCCTCCAACCTGATAGCGATGTCCTCCAACCTAATAGCAATGGCCTCCAATCTAATAGCGATAACCTCCAAGCTAATAGCAATGGCCTCCAACCTGATAGCAATGGCCTCAGGTTGCCTCCAACACAATTGCAATGGCCTCCAATCCAATAGCGATGGCCTCCAATCTAATAGCGATAGCCTCCAAGCTAATAGCAA